CAAAATTATTAATTAACATTACCTTTATTAATTTAAACAATGAGATTAAGTCAAAGTCACATAACTGACAATTTGTACAAACGAATTATCAGAGCGAATTTTGATATATTATATTATCCTACTATTGATATACAATTTATTAACATACCCTTTTTTAGGTTCATTTAGGTTCTTTTGATAACGATAGCAGAAAATAGCTATCGAAACGTCAAGGTAATTTTTCAAATTAATTTCTCTACTAATTGGAATTTTCTCTTACAGCTTGAGCCTAAGTGTGTCGCAGGATACCCTCTTGGTAATAGTTCTTGATTACTTTTTGATAAATAATTTGTTCTTATTGCGAAATAGGAGCACTATTTATCAATCTGTAATAAAAGACGTGAGGAAATTCTGTCTTTTTTAAAGACAAAAATTTTTGAGGCGAAATACCCAAAAAGAAGTTTGTAAAAAATAAATCCGCCTCAACAATATAGAACTTATATAATGTTGTATTATAATATAATTTCAAATTTGTCAAAAACGGTTAGACAGGTATAAGATATTACACATGAAATAAATTTAGAATGGAATTAAAAAATGTAATAATATATCAGGTCTTCCATTTAAAATAGCAAGTTGATACCTACATCCGCTATAACCGGAGGTGTGGCCATCTTGAAAATATGTTAGATCGCTTACCCTCAATGACTTGGGCAAACTGTCTTTCAAATTTCACATTTCTTCCATTTACAGTTTGCCAGATATCGATCGCGGTGGTTCCCGGTGGGACACCCTGTATAAAACCCTATTAAATTACAAAAACAAAACAAATGGAATCTCGCAGGTTATAAACGACGCCATGACCGAAAATAATGATGCCAGATATTTAGGTGTAATCTCATTGCTCAACAAATCGGGCCATTCAAACCTGTTAGATACTCGTATTCTACTTACTGTATCTGACGATCGCTCTACACTTTTCTTCTAGTTGCACTATTATTGGGACACTAGAATTCTCAGTAACAACATGAATCAATTAGTAATGAAGAAAGAATTGGAAACAGTAATTCATATCTTGGACGATCGATGATCGATGACATGTCACTCATTTCACATTTGACATTGGACCATAGACATACTATCAAAGATGGACGAGCCGACTTGCTGACCTGGATCTACCGAGCGGCTTTAGAGAATTTATCCTTGTGTTATAGGCAACCTGTTAAACATTCAGTCCTGTGCTATATCATAAATGCTATTTTTAACGGCCTCACGTTATGACAACTTAACAGTTCAGGATAACATTTTCGATAACGCAGCAGCACAACCAAGGTGTGCACTATCTCCGAGTTAACGTACATCGCTGACCAATCAGTTACAGGGTTTATAACTCCTCCCTTCTTATAAACGAACTTACAGTGGGTTTAAAGTTTTATATAATTATTTCGGGAGTTTCACCTTTTTGGCAATTGGCATCTGGCAATTGGTTCTATTTAATCTAAATTTATTATACTTTTTATATAAGATGGTTAATACAATTATTAAGAATATAAAGTATAACAATATTGTCCAAAAACTGGAATTTTGGAAATATGATGAATGTCATTTAATTTTTGGTTATTCACATCAAGAGCATTTTGGATTTGTCTAACATCTTCAAATCGTATTTCGCTTAATTGAATGTTGTCGAATTTAAGCGGTATTCAGCCCTGTGCTGTATTGTAAATGCTATTTTTAACGGCCACACGTTATGGCGACTTAACAGTTCAGGATAATATTTTCGATAACGCAGCAACACAA